AATAAAGAATAAAAATAGAAAAGAACAATCATTTTGCTAGCTTTTCTAGTATTTCCCTTAACAATTAAGATATGAATACGTACCTTACATGTCTTTTTGTTATACACATAACCAAGAAAATAATCCTAATATAAAGTTCCATATTATTTTATATAGTCTTTCATTAATAATTTCGATATTTACTAATACATGTATAATTTTATACATCAATTTTGATATTGTCTTATTAATAATCTTGAGTTTTCAACTCATTAGATTTGATGCAACAATTCATTCAATTTGATGTTACATATTTAAGTGAAGATAGTCCCTAATCTATGCAATGGGTCATGGAGGTAGTTGTGCACTATAAAAAAAAGTCATATGACATACACACCAAACTCATTCAATTTGATGTTACTCTTTCACCGAACTCTCAAAATTTGAGTGTCTGTTTATGTATTATGTGTTTTAAAATATAAGATTTAACAGGGAACTAAAACACTTTTCAATCAGCCCATTGTTTAACTATATTTTTTCTTTAATGAAATAACTGTAATATTATCGCTTAAAAAGCATACAAAAACTGATTAAACATCATTTACATCACAATGTTACACAAATAAAACAAATGTAACTTGTCAAGTTAAGCTATTATTTCTTCTTCTGTAACTCCTTTGCCTTTGCTGCTTCTTTCTCCTTCCCATCATTATTTTGTGTTCCAGTTCTACAATTATTCTTGCAAGCCATCTTGGATTTCCAGTTGAGAACATGAAATATATTATGGATAATCCAATACATAGTCCACTTCCATACCCCATAAGAGCAGCTTTCCAAAAATCATTCAGAAATTCAGAGTCGCTTTCTTCATCATCTAGTCTAGATGTGGTATCATTTGTCTCCGAATCATTACCATCATTACCACAACTTTTTGAAAGTGGGAATCCACGTAATCTATCATTACCTTCATATGAATTGTTCTCAAATGTATCGAATTGAGGTCCTTGAGGAATGCACCCTTCGAGATGATTGTAGGAGAGATTTAATACTTCAAGAGATGTAACAGAAGCAAATCGTGCTGGTATCTCTCCTACAAGATGGTTACTTGACAGATCCAATGATTCAACTGAAGATAAACTTCCAAGTGATGACGGTATATGACCTTGTAATCCATTATGAGATAAATTCAGCACACGAAGTGCAATGAGATCTCCCATAATACTTGGAATAAATCCTTCAAATTTGTTGTTTGAAAGATCAATAGTGGTGTACAAAAACAAGATTCTCACAACTTCAAGCTCCAATCCCTTTGTTACAAGAGCTACCGAGTCTTGGTAATATCGATCCCCTTCATCACTTGGTGCATTCATCGTTTGATCAACTGTACTCATGGCTTTCAAATGTTGAAACAAACTCGTTGGTAAGCTTTTTGAGAAGGCATTGGAGGAGAGATCTAATATTCTAAGCTGAGGAAACATGTTTTCAGTCGTTAGAGTTCTAATGGACCCATGCAATTTATTGGATCTCAAACTTAGAACTTTCAGCTTTGGCAGAGTTACCAACCACATGGGGAATGTGTCGTTGAGGTGATTGTCTCCTAAATCAAGAACATCGAGTTGCTTGCAATTGGTCAAGGATTGTGGGATTTTCCCCTCCAGCTTATTGCCATGAAAGTTGAAGCTTTTGAGTGCACTTCCAATTCTAAAAGTTGTTGGAAGAGTCCCTGAAAGACGGTTGTGGTGCATATCCAGAACCTCGAGGCCACTGATATTACCCAAACATTGCGGAATTGCTCCCTTCAAGTTGTTTCTTGCCAAATCAAGCATTACCAGTGATGTCAAATTGCAAATATCTGAAGGAATTTCTTCAGTGAGATTATTATGGGATATGAAGAAGAATCTTGTGGAAATTGGTGGAATAGGTAGTGAACCTTGAAGCAAATTGGACCGCAAATCAATAGCTTCTATAAACAGAAGTGGAATTGAGTCAACACTTTCCAGCATGTTGTGGGATAAATTAAGACGTTGCAATAAGAACATCCAGTTAGTCCATGCCCAATCAGGGATTCTTCCTTGAATCTTATTATTTGAAAGATCCAACTGCCAAAGAAGCTTAGCGGATCTTAGAAACTCCAATTCTTTCACTTCACATGCGGCCAATTGTAAGCTCATAAGAGATCCTGGCAAAGTAACATTATGTTTGTTCTCATTGGTCAACGAGATACGATTATATGAAAGATCAAGATAATAAAGTTGTTTGATGTCAGCAAGGAAGCTGACATCCACATGGCCACTAAAATTATTGAAAGAAAGAATAAGGCCTGTTAGGTTCACATGGTTTTGAATCGACTTGGGAAGATGGCCTTGCAGCTGATTATTACTTAAATCAATCCAGATTAGTGAATTGGAATTGAAATCCTCAAACTGACCAGAAAAGTGGTTATTACTCAAGACTAAACGACTTAGTGACGGAAGAGAGAACATCCCTGATGGTATTGTTCCATTCAGGGAGTTATATTGAAGGTCCAAATCCTCTATGCGAGTGAGATTCAAAAGAGATTCAGGAATAGGCCCTCTAAGATTGCAATATTTAAGAGACAAAGAATGCACCGAAGTTAGATAGCCAATAGACTCAGGCAAGTTGTCAGAAAAATTCACGCCACTGAGATCTAACTCTATGAGAGATGCACTGCTGTTCCATTTAGTCTTCGGAAAATAACCACTGAGCTGATTATTGTTTTGTAAGACAAGTGTTTCCAGATTAGGAAGGTGAAAAATACTCTCAGGTATTATCCCGTAAAATCCTGTATTTCCCATCCTCAGAGTTGTCAAATGAGAAGAAAAATTTGGAGGAATGGTGGAAGAGATATTTATGGAAGTAAGATCAAGCTCACTTAATTGAGTCAAATTCTGAAGGAGCAATTTCAAATCATGGGCAGCGAGTCTTAGAATAGTTTCAAATGACGGGGAGAGGCAAAGAGACTGTAATTGAGAAAGATGAGAGATTTCAGAAGGTATATGACCTGAGAAATAGGAGTCAGAAAGATCAAGAAGTGTCAAGCTTGAGAACCTTCCAAATTCAGGCGAGATGTGAGAATTAGAGAAGTTATTAGAAGAAAGGTCGAGCCTTTGGAGATGAGAGAGTTGGAAGAGACTGCTATTGGAATCAATCTTTCCTACAAGACCGCTGCAACTGAGATTAAGTTCAATCACATGGCCAGTCATCTCATCACATATGACTCCATCCCACGAGCAACAATCTCTGCTTGTATTCCATGAACGCGTATAAGAGTAGGAACTACACGTAACTAATGAGGGATCTACAGTGAGTGTTTTCTTGAATTTTAGAAGAGCGGTGCTTTGATCTTTGCCGCACGGATGAGGTATGGATGAAGAAAAAGAAAGCTGACAGAAACAGACAAAGAGCAGAAATGGGAATTGCCTGTCTCCCATGTTTTAGTCCAAGTTGCTTCTTAATACTGAGTAAATCTGTGTACTGAGAGTTGGTAGTGAAAATTAAGAAAAGGCTATTCATATCTATATAGGCAGATTTCTTTGACTAGTCCAATTTCTTTGAAAGGTACACTTATTGTTACAACTGTAGAAAGGACTTAACCAAATAGTTTTGTTGTGTTAAGTCAAGACAGATAATGAATTATGAATGTAAATGTGTTACACATATAATTCAGACAAAGACAACCAAATAGTTTTGTTGCGTTAAGTCAAGAAAGATGATAAATAATGAATGTAAATGTGTTACACATATAATATAATTCAGACAAGGACATAACCAACTAGTTTTGTTGTGTTAAGTCAATAAACATAATGAATTATGAATGTAAATGTGTTACACATATAATTAAGATAAGGACTTTACCAAATAGTTTTGTTGCGTTCTCATTCCACTTGTCCGACTCTAAAAAGTATAATGACTTTTTCGTGTTGCTCCCCAAAGAAAAAAAGAATTTAGATTTATACTATATGATAATGTAAATGAAGATCTCAAGTAATGAGATTGGAACACAAATTATCCACAAACTATTGAGTCTGTACTGATAATTAATATGGGTGTGGTTTAACAGACAATGAAGTAGATGAAAACCGTAAGAGATCTGTAGGGTTAAAATCTTAGTAGAGACACAAAAATACTAGCGATTTCTTCCCATGTGTTAGAAATCTGAGATAGAAAACCTCCATTCGTATCGTTGCTGGTGCTGGTATGTTGGCTTGATTTAATTAGCTTCAGGGACATCCCACACTCTGCCTTCACTTCTTTCTCGAGCGCGATTATATTAGGGACAACGGATAATGCATTCTCAAGTTCAAAGTCTAATTCATAATTGAGTCCCTCTTAAATTCTGTGAAATGAGTATTATTCATTTGCAAGTTGTACAGTAAGCAGCCAGGAATCCAAGAAATGCATAAACTTCATTCAATACACTACTAATATTTCATTGAGTACATTAAAACATTACATAACTTGATATATCATCAATATTCATAATATTACATTTCCTGAACTTAATAAAGGAAGAATAAAAGGCCTACTTATAAACCAAAAGCTGTAGTTTCTGTAAAATGGCCCCATGGGTCGATTATTGGAAAAAAAAAAAAAAAAGCTAGTAGTTTCTGATATTATTGTATCTCTGATGAGCATTCCAACAAATTCTTCTCCAACCACCTGCATGTTTGAATTTGTTTATTTACTGTCTGATGTTTATATTTACACAAAGAAAGTCAAGTCTTTTATTTTATGCTAAAATGAAATTACAATCTGAAAGAAAGTTATTAAGTCCGGTGAATTTTACACAAACTATCTGTTGGTTCACACTTGAAGAACTTGTTAAACCAAGCCTCTAACCAGATAATTGGATCACAGCTTCCAACTAATTTTGGACAGAAAAATAAGCTTTGTAGAGCATTCAATTAGTTGCTGATATAACTAATATGAAAATTCCGATATAGTTAGCTGCCATAATCTAAAGCTCAAACTAGAACTTAACTGCATACCTGAAATTTTTAACTCTTCTACATCCGATTATTTGCTTCTTCTGTAACTCCTTTGCTTTCGCTGCTTCTTTCTTCTTCCCATCATAATTTTATGCTCCAGCTCCACAATGATTCTTGCAAGCCATATCGGTTTTCCAGTTGAAATCATGAGATATATAATGGATAATCCAATACAGAGTCCACTTCCATACCCCATAAGAGCAGCTTTCCAAAAATCATTCAGAAATTCAGAGTTGCTTTCTTCATCAAGCTCAGATCCGGTATCAGTTTTCTCTGATTCTGAATCATTACCTTCAGTACCACAGCCTTTCAAATGTGGGAATCCACGTAATCCATCATTACCTACATATGAATTGTTGTCAAAGGTATGAAATTGATTTCCTTGAGGAATGCACCCTTCGAGATGATTGTAGGAGAGATTTAAGACTGCAAGAGAAGTTAGAGAAGCAAATTGTGCTGGTATCTCTCCTACAAGGTGGTTACTTGACAGGTCCAGTGATTCAACCAAAGTTAATCTTCCAAGTGATGGCGGTATATGACCTTGCAATCCATTATGAGATAAATTAAGCATGCGAAGTGCAATGAGATCTCCCATAATACTTGGAATATGTCCTTCAAACTTATTGTCTGAAAAATCGATAGTGGTGTACAAAAACAAGATTCTCACAACTTCAAGCTCCAATCCCTTTGTTACGACAGCTACCGAGTCTTGGTAATATTCACCTCCTTCATCACTTGGTGCATTCATCGTTTGATCAATTGTCCTCATGGCTTTTAAATGTTGTAACAGACTCATCGGTAAGTTTTCCGTGAAGGCATTGGAAGAGATATCCAACATTCGAAGCTCATTAAAAATGTTTTCACTTCCTAAAGTTCTAATCGGTCCATGCAACTTATTCGATCTCAAGCTTAAAATTCTCAACTTAGGAAGAGTTCCCAACCACATCGGGAATGTGTCGTTGAGGTGATTATCTCCTAAATCAAAAACTTGCATCTCTTTGCAATTGACCAAAGATTGGGGAATTTCCCCCTTAAGTTTATTGCCATGCAAGTTGAAGCTTCTAAGTGTTCCAGCCCTAAAAGTTGTTGGAAGAGTTCCAGAAAGATTGTTGTGTTGCATATCCAGAACCTCAAGATGACCACTCATGTTGCCAAAACATTGCGGAATTTCTCCCTTTAGATTGTTTCTACCCAAATCTAGAATTTGCAGTGATGTTAAATTGCAAATAGACGGATGGAGCTCTCCACTGAGATTATTATCTGACATTATCACATACTGGAGGGCACTGATATTACCCATGCATTGCAGATTTTTTCCTTTCAAGTTGTTTCTCGACAAATACAGGATTGTTGGAATAGTTCCAGAAAGATTGTTGTGTTGCATATCCAGAACCTCAAGATGACCACTCATGTTGCCAAAACATTGCGGAATTTCTCCCTTTAGATTGTTTCTACCCAAATCTAGAATTTGCAGTGATGTTAAATTGCAAATAGACGGATGGAGCTCTCCACTGAGATTATTATCTGACATTATCACATACTGGAGGGCACTGATATTACCCATGCATTGCAGATTTTTTCCTTTCAAGTTGTTTCTCGACAAATACAGGATTGTCAGCAATGATAAATTGCAAATAGATGAAGGAATTTCCTCTATCAGATTGTTTTGTTGGAGAGACAGAACTTGCAAGTTTCTCAAATTCCCCAATGAAGCAGGAATAGAACCATTAAGAGAGTTATTGTACAACTGTAGATCAGTAAGAAACCTTAGATAACCTATTTCTTCAGGGATAGGGCCAGAAAGGTGATTACCATCAAGATACAAGACAGACAAGTTGGTCAAATTCCCCAATGAAGTTGGAATAGAACCATCAAGAGTGTTAGAACACAAATCTAGATGAGTAAGAGACCTTAGGTAGCCTATTTCTTCAGGAATAAAGCCAAATAGGTGATTATCATCAAGACGCAGAATAGTCAAGTTGTTCAAATTCCCCAATGAAGCAGGAATAGAACCATTAAGAGAGTTAGTGTACAACCGCAGATCAGTAAGAGACCTTAGGTAACCTATTTCTTCAGGAATAGGGCCAGAAAGGTGATTATCATCAAGACGTAGAATAGTCAAGTTGTTCAAATTCCCCAATGAAGCAGGAATAGAACCATTAAGAATGTTATCGTTCAAACGTAGATCAGTAAGAAACCTTAGGTAACCTATTTCTTCAGGAATAGGGCCAGAAAGGTGATTATCATAAAGATACAAAAGGGACAAGCTGGTCAAATTTCCCAATGAAGTTGGAATAGAACCATCAAGAGTGTTAGAACTCAAATCTATCTCAGTAAGAGACCTTAGGTAACCTATTTCTGCAGGAATGGAGCCAGAAAGGTTATTTTTATAAAGATTCAAACGAGACAAGCTGTTCAAATTTCCCAATGAAGTTGGAATAGAACCATCAAGAGTGTTAGAACTCAAATCTATCTCAGTAAGAGACCTTAGGTACTCAAATCTAGCTCAGTAAGAAACTTTAGATGACCTATTTCTTCAGGAATGAAACCATTTAAATGGTTGTCAAACATATGGAGGCTTTGAAGCTTGGCTAGTGAGCCGATTTGTGGTGGTACTGTACCTGAAATCTGATTACTTGACAAATCAAGACAAATAAGATTAGTGAGTTTACCAATGTCAGGTGGAATGGTGTCAGAGAAATAGTTCATGCTAAGATCAAGATACTCAAGAAAAGGGAGAGATGAAAATGGAAAATCATCGAGTGTACCAATGACACTAGTATTTGTAATATTCAACATGTTTACTCTACCGTTAAAGCATATAACTCCATACCAATCCCTGCATGAGTTAGAACTTGGTGTCCATGAAGCGAATAAGGAGTTGTTCTGGTTCTTGAAAGTTGCTTTCCATTTTAAGAGGGCAGTTGTTTCCTCAGTGGAAGCAAATGCAACCGTAAAGAGGTAGAATAGAGTGAAAAGCTGAAGTGAAGAGAATGTTTTGCTAGAAACCATCATCATATTTTGAGTTTATTGTTTTGCTCATCATATTTTGGATTTCAATGAACTAATTGTGGAGGGTTCATAGGATTTTATATTGTACCAAACTTAACGTTAAAGACCAAATTTCGGCTGCTCTCTCTCTTTATGTTCATAATTTATCAAAGAAAATATCATCATGCATTCTCAAGTCAATGCAAAAGTCAAATTTGAGTTGTTCTTTTTTTTGTCTTCTTCTTTTTTTATGCATGTTATACACACCTATCATACAGAAAATAAATTTTAATTCAGACAAGGACTTAACCAAATAGTTTTGTTGTGTCATCAGACAAGATCACATGGTTTATGATGTATATATGTTTGGTTCTCATTTTTTCACCTCTAATGTAGTAATCTTAGATAAATAAATTTCTACATTGATTTAATATCTCTAATATACTTTGTACTAGATTAAAACAAGTTTAGGTAAGACGATACGACTAGTTATGAGAATTCATATAGCAAATGTTATTAATTTCTCACATGGTTATAACTCAACTATTGATAATATACCATCAATTTTTAACAACCCACCCCAATGATTTGACCCATTTGAGAGAGAGAACCGCCCCAAATTTTTTAATATCAGTCAATATATAAATTTTCAACCAATAAGGAATTATTTTGGTTGCTGAAATAATCATCATATTTTATTTTTTATAGTATTATTCACACTTTGTCTGTTCATATTTTATTAGACGAAATTTGTCATTGTCAAGTTAATTTTTTTGTTTTTCTCTTCCTTTTTTTATCCATGTGCTATGCTACACATCTTTTTTCAAGTAAAAGAGACTCATATAGAAAATAAATTCCCTCAAAAAGAAAACTAGATTAAAAAGAAATGCATAAACTTCTTCATTGAATACATTAATTTGCTTCTTCTTCTTTCCTCTGCATAATAAATTTGTGTTCCAATTCTTCAATGATTCTTGCGAGCCATTTCGGATATCCAGTTGAAACCATGAAACATACTACATATAATCCAATACATAGTCTAATTCCATAGCTTATAATAACAGCTTTCGAAAAAATATTGAGATATTCAGTATTGCTTTCTTGATCGTCTATATGGTATAATTTGCCTCTGATAAATAGATCACTGCCACAACCTTTCTAAACTGGGAATCCATGCAATTCATCATTACCTTTAAAGGTATGAAATTAAGGTTCTTGAGGGATGCATCCTTGGAGACGATTGTAGGAGAGACTCGTTATTTTTCCTTGTTAATTCTCTTTCCCTCGGTTGCAGTACCCAAAATATCTTCCTCCGTCAATTCAGCTTTTGATCAACAGAAAGACTATTGAGTCGGTAGAGAATGGATGATGACATACACTTCATTCAAAGCATATAAACTTGTATACATGACTAACTTACCTCTTCCATCCAGAAATTTACGAAACAAAAAGAGTGAAAAGGTCAAAAGCACACCTAAAGTATCCCTGATTTTTAGTATACCTCAACTATTAGGTGTGTGAGTTTTCTACCTCATGAACTATCATCAAAACGACTGTTTATCAAAACACAACTTAACTATCAGCAGTTTCACTCTTCCTACCTGAAATATCACCTTAACGAAAAAATGCACTTCAATTTTTCAATCGAATATCTCTTCAGGGATACACATTAGATTCATTTTCTTTTTTTGGTACAATGGAAAATCTACACACAATATTCATTGAATACATCAAAACATTACATAACTTGATATATCATCAATATTCATTATATTACATTTCCTAAAGTTAATAAAGGAACAAAAAGCCATAAGCTGCAGTTTCTGTTATTGAAAGATTTCTAGCTCTTCTCAATCAATCTTGCCATAACTTCTTCTTCCAGGACACCAGCTGCTCCTCACTGTAATCCAAATATCTTAGTTAAACGTCAACTGAGGCTGATCCTTTTAAGAATCTTCTACTTATATAAATTATTGGAAATGAAAAACTTATTAGTATAAACTATAGAGCATCAATTAGTAAAAGAATAAGATATTAATAGCTACAATAAACTAAAAGATCAGTGTAGAATTTTTACCTCAAGTTCTGAAATCAAAACTTATAACTTGTCTAGAAGTGATTATTTCTTCTTCTGTTATTCCTTTGCCTTCCCTGCTTCTTTCTCCTTCCCATCATTATTTTGTGCTCCAGCTCTACAATGATTCTTGCAAGCCATATCGGAGTTCCAGTTGAGAACATGAAATATATAATCGATAATCCAATACATAGTCCACTTCCATACCTCATAAGAGCAGCTTTCCAAAAATCATTCAGAAATTCAGAATTGCTTTCTTCATCGTTTAGTCCAGAAACGGTATCATTTGTCTCTGATACTGAATCAGTACCACAGCCTTTTGAAAGTGGGAATCCACGTAGTCCATCATTACCTTCATATGAATTGTTCTCAAA